AAAGAAAAAAAAATTCAATAGTATTTTTTTTTTTTTTTTTTTTTTCGAATTGTAAAAGAAAAAAATTCAAAGTCAAATTAAAATCATTGTGGGAAAATAAAATTACAATTGGTTTGAAAATTAATTGCTTGGGAGTGTGAAAGGAAATGGAGGGCAAAGGTGTTTAGGAGAGTAGTGCGGCACAGTTGAAAGATATATGATGGGGCGAGTGGAAGTGTGTATAGGAAACTAATGGTGAGAGGGATGGGGTAAGGGGGGAAACTTAGGAGGAAGTGACTTCTGGTAAGCCACTTCCGTTTCATGAAATCTGTCGGTTTTAAAATTCCAGCCCCCCGAGTACGCGATATAAAGAACTTCGTTCTAAAAAGCTGTGACATTCATTAATTTAGAAAAATTATAAATACCTCACTTCAATACTTAAAATAAAATGGAAGATGATTGTGTAGTATTCAAGTAATTTTTCTTTACCGTTTTGTTTAGCAGACAGTGAAACACAAAAATGATAAGTCCCTGGAGGCTATTCAACGCTGTGAAGATGTATGCCATGACCAAAGTCTGACGGTTCATGAACAACAGTCCAAAGGTCCAGGTCAAACCCAGCAAGAAAACCAACATCATGAAGCCTTTTAACCTTATCCTAAAAAATTTCAATAAAATATTTTCTATTACTTATTGCGTAAAGAAGAATTTTAATTCATTACAAAACGGGGTAAACTAACACAATGCAAATCTCTTTATAGCTCATTAATGAATCTGATGATGAAAAATTCACAGATAAGTGACGTATAAGCAAGTATGAAGTGACCCTACATAAAATAAATAAATTTTCGAAAATTTAAAAGAAATAAAGCAATTGCGAGAAAATATGTGTAAAAAAAAAAAAAACAATAAAAAAACTGCTAATTAAGAATTGTTTCAGCTTTGAGTATTTCACCATATGATTCAAATACTGAATATTTTTCAAAATTTTACAATGCTGAAAAGGCTGGCTATAGAAACAAAATGTTAAATAGGTTTTTTGACCCTGTTTAACCGATTTTAAGGATTATAAAATATTTATTACACTGAACCCTAATACTTCTACTTAAGGCATTTTATTTATCTTGGGACGCAAACATAGCAAGTAGAATAAAAAAATAGTTTGCACCTAATGCCCATTCAGCCAGAGCAAGTATACGAGGGATTTCCCCAAATCGGTTATTGCTTTGAGGAGAAACATTGCTAAATACGATAACCAATATTTTACTAATTTTGTTTGCTTTTGCATGATTTTAGTGTTTGTCAAACTTTAGCATTTTTTTAAATAAAAATATATAACGTAGTAATACTCAATGCTTATTTAGAGTAACATTCAATAGTATACAAGGCTTATCCATCCATTTAATTCGCTTTGTGCATCAATTTGAAACAATGCCACCTACAAAAGAAAATATGTCGATGCTAACTAACAAGAATACACAGCATCAGATAGACAATGATAGATTACAAGTGTTTATTTCAATAATAATATATATATTTAACGACTAAAATAAGTTTTTTTGAGTCCCAAGTAGCGTATTAACAGCAAATAATGCTTTTTTTCATAATTTCATTAAAAAAAAAAGTAAATTTCTCGGATGAAATATATATAATGTATAAGAAAGCATAATAAATATTACTTTTTAATGCGCTATTAAATAGGTACTTTTCTACTCGGAAGTATACACAACACCCAAGCTTAGTTGTGTAAAATACACTATTGTTGAAATAAACGCTTGTAACAGATCACTGTCCATAAAAGGCTGTTTATTCTTGTTAGTTTGTATCGACAAATTTCCCCCAGCAGGTAGCGTTGTTTCAAATTGATGCACGAAGCGATATTTGCTTCGGTAGTTATTAAAACTAAAAGAAACTGGTAACATTTTAGTATAAAGCCTTTTGGAAAATACTCCTTTTCAAAATAGTCCCAAAATGTAAAGCAAACTTT